TGCAGCTGAATGGATGCAGTCACCATTACGCAGCCTTGCTTTACCTATTGTGACAAGTCAGAATGTCGGTGTGAAAAAAGGTCCGAGTATCAGAAGCATGTTGCCACCATGCTATTTTACCCGCATGACATTTCTGACCAGAGAACAGAGAGAGGGCATTGTGGGGGTAGAGAACCGTGAATGAGCAGTTTTCTTCTGTTGCTGCTGCTCGAGTTTGACCATGTCAAAAATGTTGCTGCTGGATGCAGAGCAGGCCGGTGTGTAATCTGGTGAGAGCCGTGCAGAATAAATGGCAGCTGCTGCTGTTGTCGCGTCTCACTCTGAAAGCGCCCCAAGTCAAAATTCTCACACAGTAAATTAAAAGCACAATAATGCAAAGCAACCACAAAGAGATTGGAGTCAAGAGCACAATCATGATTAATTATACCCCAAAACACACCAAACACACCTTTAAGCTGTTTACATTTACTCACCATGACTAAAAGCGCTTTGATTTAAATCGGTTTATGCTCATTATTTATTGTTGTTACGCCATAAGAGTAAATTGAATCCTAAGTTTAAAAAAATAAAGGCACTGAATATCAGGCTGAGATGACATCCAACAATGTGAAAGCACTTGATTTTTCCTATGACACCTGCAGGTTGCGAATCCAACTACAACTTCACCATCTTCCTAGTTGCATCAAAATCTTATGTCACGGGGAAATGCAAAACACAGCAAAACCAGCAATTAGAACGAGAAAGGGCTCAAGGTCAAAACACTATGCAATAGACATTCTTCTTTGCTGTGATGCAGACCTTGAATTCAAGACATTTCCTGCCAAACAATAGCAAACCTCTAATCTAAGCTAAACACATGCAAGTGCAGCAGTCTATGGAAAATTAAAAACAGGGCGTGACATGAAAGTATCTTGAGCAAAATTAATTCCATCAATAAAATTTTTTGGACATTTCTTCAGTTTGGGTTCTGCATCACTTTTCAAAGCATGCACAGGGTAAACAGTGCTTACTGAGCTTCGACGCTTAAGACAAATCTGAGCCCCACACGCTACTTATAAATCACAACAAGATGTCAACATGTCCGAGATGTGGTGAATCAAGCAGAAATTGCGACTATAAAAGTAGTACACTTACGTTAACAATCTTTACAGGGAAGGAAAGTGACCATGACGAGTATAATTAAATTAACTCAGTGCTCGCCCACAGGATATTACAGCGTATGGCTGTTACCTACACTACTGAATTACAAGGGCGCTAAAGCAAAGTGTTTGCCTCAGCAAGTGAGCAGATACTTCTTTATTTTCTTGCTTTGCCTGCTCTTCTTGGCCAATGGTGGGGGTTGGAGGGGGGGGTGTAATTGGCATGCAAGCTTCAGCTGGGCTGTTAGATGAGCCAGGTCCCAAGCTCGGGCACAAAGCACAACGGCTCTGCTGTGCCCACAAAATTAGTTTAAAGCTGTGATTCAGCAACAGGCTGAGACCTGTACAGTGCCACTGGTGCCATCCATCATGGCAAATCCATTTCTCTGGCAGGACAACTGAGCCAAACCGACACCCCCTCACCTCACACAAAGCACAGCCTAGCAGCAGGTAGAAAGAAATATAAAAAACAAGGGTTCTGATGGTTTCAGCAAATAGGGAAGTCTTGTTAGGCTGAAGGTGACCATATATTACTAGCCGTTTTTTGTTTACAGTTCCTCTCGCTCTAGTCCTCCTAACACTCGGCAAAAATGTGCCTTCTCTAACACAGCTTAGATGAAAATAACACTAAGATTGCTGTTCACATATTTTGCCCCATTTCCGTGCTCTTCTATTCCCGACGTCAACATAAAAACACCAGTGTTATTTCTGTGTATGCACAGTAACATAAGCCTGAACCCTAAGATCAAGACAGCAGCGATTTACACTGGTGTGAAGTGAGGTAAAGCTATTTACAGCAGCAGTCCCCAACCTTTTTTGCGCCACGGACCGGTTTATGCCCGACAATATTTTCACGGACCGGCCTTTAAGGTGTCGCAGATAAATACAACAAAATAAAACTAGTACCGGTACCGAAAAAAA